TAAGCATTCCATATGTCCACCCTGTGGCTCTCTACCTCTTAGGATTAAAATTGAGACCTGGACCTACTTTCTACAACCTCTTATCTACTGCTCTTCCCTAACTGGGCCCACACCTTTCATGGTTGCCTTTGCCATTGTAATCAACTACAAGTCAGGGAACTATAAGTAGCTAATAACCCATACAGCCTTTTCTTGTTCAGGCAGATCTCCCCTCCTCAGATCTCCCTGCCTCAAAGCAAATATTTTCCTTTCCTCATTATGGGGTCTGCTCCCTCCATTACTTCAAACTCTGGGCTCTCTCTGACTCACTTTTGTAATTCTAGCTTTGACCTTGATCATTAACCCAAAAGGCATAAACACCCTGCCTGACAGCTATGGGACTCCCCATTATTCTCAGCTAGCAGTTGCCTGGAACCTTTGCTCCAATGCTGAGATTATTGGTATGTCCACCACCACCCAGCCAGGGGTAAGTGAGTTTCTTTCTTCCCATCTTGGTTTGTAAATAAAAGGTTCCTTTGTTTCAGGGAAACTGGTTCCCTGACTGGTTTGGCTAAAAACAAAGGTTTAAACATTTCTAGTTTTCCTCTGCTTAAAAAAATATTGTTTTCAATTCTAGGTCTTCTGTGATGGTTACAACTGGCTCCTTGAGGTCTATCAAAGTATATCAAAACATCAGGTGTAACAAACTATAACCTAATCTATTTAAAAATGAAGTTATTAAAGGTGTGTGTCATCTAAAAAGTTGCATCTTTACAAATATTGGTAAAATAACTACTTCTTACAATTTGTATACATGGCCAAAATTTTCATACAAGTCAAGAGATTGCTTGTTTCACCTCTGGAGGGTAAATTATAAGCTGGCACCTATATAAATTCTGTCAAAACAAGTTTAAAGATCGCGGTCTACAATGTGATAAACATACATAGGTATGTAAGTGCTAAAATTGTACAGCTTTTTTCAGTAATTGGTATTTTTATATGTGCTCTCATACATATAATCTTATAAATGGGAAATTTTATCCTTTCAGAATACAATCAGCAAGGTAAACCAAAGTTACCACACACACACAAAGAATAAATAAACATTACATTCACCTACAAAATAAAGCTGAAAATTCAATTAAATAATTAATAAAATTTTATGCCTTTCTTCTATTAATCTGCATATTGCCAGTTTATTTCATAGGTTCAATTATGGGCCTTAGGAGAGTAAAATGAAAACCTTTCCCCCCCTATTGAGTACTCTTTTCTTTTTGAAAATGAAAATGAAAGAGACTGCAGAATCTGCTTAGATTCACTTCTCTTTTCCTATGAATTTCCACAGAGTCCTCTCTGCACACATATTGCCATGTAAAGTTGGTCACTGTGAAAGAGGTGGTTTGTTCCTACAAAGTAATTCTGTGGACTGTTCTCTCTTTAAATAATCATACCTAAAATGTCACAGCTTTTAGAAGAATCTCAATAATAACACAATTGCAGTAAATTTTTGCTCCTTTGGAAAAGACACAATTTATCTAAACAATTTGACAATGCAGAGTAACTAAAATACTGAGACTGTATATTAGAACGATCATGTATGCTTTTTAACTCACAATATGTGCCTTAGGGATGGTCTATCTTTCCTACTAGTTGAAATGTATCATTATGATTATTACCACATTATTCCCCTTTAGATTATTTGAGTCATTAGTAAATATTTGATTGTTTTATATACAATGTTTTCAAAGAGTTCATTTAGCTTACTGTCTACCCATTCTGCACACCCACAAAGTTCAAGTATTGATATTGTTGCTTATTGTTATAGCATCATTTTGCTGGTAATTAAATGTTATTAATTTACTGTAGAAATCATATACAGTGAAAAATTGAATTGGAAAATGGCAATGGTATTTCAAATCACATGCACAGGTGTTTTATTTTCACAGTTTTGCCTTAAATAATTTGAAGTTCTAGAAGGAATCACTTGGATCCTAAACATTTTTAACTATGCCGCTATTCTTGCCTTTGCTTTAGACTAAGTAATCTAAGATGATAACCATATTTATAAGGTCTGGTTCCATTATGAACAGTGATGGTTTATTTTGTAGTAGGTATAGTAATGGGTCATAAAATATAAGGACATGGAAGATCACCACCATGAGCTAAAGTCAATACCACAATAATGGAAGGCTCTTCATCTAAAAGCAAACTAATTATTGGAAAGGAACTTTAGTACAAAAACAAAAGCAATAGAAGTGGAACTGAAGCTACCAAAAGCTCACCAAAGTGCATAGATTACTTTAAACTAAACACATGTGCACAAACTACAGCCAAAGAAAGAAATATTATGTCAAGTAGATCCTTCCAAAATATAGCTGTTATTGACCTACCCTGAGAGGAGGCAGGACTCTTACTACCTGAGATATTAACTCAGGGAGTTGCAAGTCAAAAAGGATATTGACCATTATCGTTAGGATGAAAATTTCTAACAAATTTACATAGATCCCAATTGGTAGTATAACACCAATGTGTTAAGCTGGTATATAAACCCCTCCCTTTGTCTGATTGGTAAATCACTCCTTGTTGAGAGTTTTTCCATAGCTGTGAAATGAAGTTTTCCTTCTAATTTGCCTTTTGTCACTTAAATTGTAGGACCCCAATCATTAGAATATAAGTTAAAGTCCTTTCCAACAAAACCGTTACTAGAAAAGACCAGAGTGGGAATCTACATTTTTAAGGTCAAGCAAATAATGAACAAACATTTTTGAGGTCAAAGTTGAGGACTATTATAGGAGAAAACAGGACTATAACCAGGAATCTGCAACACTACTGATCTCAGAGAACTGACAGTACCATGATATTGACTGGGCCACCACCATGAAAGCAAAACTAAATTAAAAAAACAAACAAACAAACAAAAAAAAACAAAACACAGGGCCCTCCCTGGTGGCACAACAGGTTAAAGCACAGCACTATGAGGCTATCAACAGCCACTGCACCATGAGTTCGATCCCCAGCCAGAGAGGTGACCCATAATGGTGTGGCAGACCACTCCTGACCCACCCTCTGCTCCCCTCAGCAATCAACCTGCCTGTTCTGCTCCCTACTCTGTCTCTGGTGAATCCTCTTACCCCTTCCACCTCTGACCTGCACCCCAGTCCTTGAATGCATAAATAAATAAATCTTTAAAAATAAAAAAGCTAGCTACCTAACATTCTTCTCAGATTTTTTTTTAAATTTAGCTTGCATTGCTTGAAGTATTAAAATTAACTTCTTTTGTGAATCATGTGTCCAGTGAAAAATGGGTAGTAGGATTTAAAGTTATATAATTTTCTATTATCACAAGATACCAAAATTGAAAGGATTGTTTCAAAATTGAAAGGAAAAAAATTGAAAGGAAGGGTACAGATAGGTACTTTCCTGGGATTGAACTTTGAAGTTTTGAAAATAATCAACCAGTCCCTTAGCAAAGTAATATACTTGTAAAAACATAAACAGGGTAGCAAGGCACCAATTTTTTGAAATGTTTTGAGTATGAAAATGCACTACCTTGCTTAACGAATATCCAAGAGGCAAGGAAAGAAACTCTAAAGTTCAAATTCATTCCATCTAATTCTCTTCTCTCTTTTATATGAAAGCCGAAAACTAATATTAGCCATTTTCATTAACTGTGATCCTTATTTTTTAAATACTATAACTGGCTAGTGCAAAATATTTCCAAATGTGGTGATAATTATTTTTCAATTTATTCACAAAAGTTGTGTAGGTAAATTTATAACAGACTTAATAAATTACATAATTCTCTTATCATTTTTGCATTAAGTTGGGAAATTACATTCTTAACCACAAGATTAAGAACTGTACAGTGATAATTGTCATGCTAGCCTAAATTGAACTTTAAAGAGGAGATGTTGTTTCCCCCACTAAAGCCAGTGACATGAAAATTGAAGACACGTGGAGAAGACATTTTGAATTGCTAAGAGAATTAAGTGTATTGCTCAGATTGCTTATCTTGTTTGGTTTTGTCAATTTTTTCCCCTGATTTTCAGGTTTAACTGTCCCTCACATTTATTTTTCAGCTTTAGATAATAAGAAAATATTTTAAACATTTAAAAACTAAGAATACTTTCAAACGTTGTAGTTTCAGTATTAAATTTCTGGGGAACAATTCAAAGTGCATAAGGTTGGGTTACTTTTCCATAAAATTTATATTATAAAAAAAAATTTTGAAAATAGACATCCCTAAACCTTTAGATCAATGGCTATTGATAAAATAGAACTTTGGGAAGGGATAATCTGTGTGGTTGATAAGATAGGCTTAAAAAGGGTAATTATTCAAGTAAGAAGCTAGTATGATGGTTTCATAGGCAGAGGGACAGGAGTAGAACAGAAGAGACAAAGAAGATTAAAAATGAATCTTGATTTAAGATTACACATTTTATTGTATTGAACATACTTAGCTAAATAAAAAGGATTTTCCAAACATCATGTTCAATTTGTAGAGGAAAATATCTTCTGCTTCCTCAGCCTCCCTCTATACTTTTTGACTCATTATTTGTAAAAATGAGGATAATGGAATTTAGTCAAGAACTAATATAAAAAAATAAATTATATCCTAAATACTAGCTCCCTTTTTAGTCATTAAAAATAAAATGAAACCATTAAATATTATTTTATATATAAAATGCATATAGTATTTATTATTTTAAGCACATGCATACTATATATAATGTATTATATGTACATACACACATATACTCACTCAACGAAGGGACTCAAAATTTTGAATATTTTTAAAATTTTACTTCTCACTTTTCTGCTAACTTACCATATGATTTTACTTACAAATTCTGTTCTCCATCCACACAAAGAAAGTACTGAGTCACATCATCCCTAAGTCCTCTCTGAACTATAATTCTAGAACTGTATTACACTCCTTTCCAAAAATATTAGACAACCTGTTGTGCCTTTTGTAGTTTTCTTATGGGATATTGAATGATAGATTTTTAAATAATACTTACATTTTGGCCCATTTATCTAGTTCTTCATCCAGATATGTTTTAACTAACTTTGGTTGAAGGCCAAGAGAATTTCCCAAGAAATATATGGAGTTTTCATCTTTATTCACTAAAGATAGGTCAACTGAAACAAACAAAAATTTAAAAAATGCTTATTCAATAAATTAACATTCTCCCATTTAATGTTATAATCCAATACAATTAATTAACATAAATAATTCCAAGAACAATACATATTATTCCTCTCAAGTACTATAAAAATCTTATTTACATTATAAAATATAATTTAAAAACCTAAAGAGGTTTTTATTGATATATCTCATCTTTCTTTTGCTCTAAGAGGAAATCTAACAATTACTTGCAATCATGAATAGCCAACAACAATAGAAAAGAGGTAAAGAGACTTTTTACAGGAGGTTATCAGTTGTATTATTAGGTTGCCAGGGTTTAATCAAATATGTAAGTCTTTATTTAAAGTTGTGGATAGGTGCTTGGAAACTGCAACTTCAAGCCAAACAACAATGAAAATGAAGGCAATTTCACTGCTAATAAAAGGAATTAATTTCCTAGTCTATTTCTGGTCACAAGACAGCATCAAACTACTAAAAGAAAGAATTTCACATGAAACAATGATATGTATTTCTTCATTCACTCATTTTCCAACCTACTTATTCCAGTTCAGTGTCTGGTTGGCCAGAGTCTAGCCAAGCAGAATCAGTGCCTATCTGGTCAAACACCTGCCTTCACAGGGCTTACTCACACACTTGGTCAGGCCTGGGCAATATATGTATGCTAGTATGTGAATCTTTTGGAATAAGTATCTAGAGGAAATCTAAGGAAGCATGGGGATACTCCAGAGAGTGGCACCCTTTAATGAACTAATTTTATTTTTCTCATCAGAATTATAAAGAAATAATGTCAAGTGAAATGCCGTTATATAAGTAACTACTGTATTAACCCTTTACATTAAGTGGTGGTGTGCATGTGGCAAATAAAAAAATCTAAATAATTATCCTTATATGTGAAATAGATTAGTTTAATATACTTTTTAATATAGTATATACCTTATATACTATATTAGTAAATATTGGCAAAGATTGTTTTCAATTATCTGCTTATCTCTTATTCAAGTAAATCAGAAGTTTTGTCACTTAGCTTACAGTGCACCCTTAACTGCAAATGAACTCAATTTCATTAGTAAACCAATCAATATGCTTAATTTATAGTCTAGAAGTGCAGAGGATTATAATTGTTTCACTAAGTTTTCTCTTAATTCTGTGGGATTAAAGACTAAATTTCTCACTGATCATTCATTGGAATTGTTTGGTGATACATGTGTCTTTATATTACTTAATTGAAACTTCTTAGACCTTTGAAAGACATACTGTCTATTTCAGTTGTATTGTTTTATAGATAAGGACCTTTTCACTGGCATCTCAAGAATAACTCAGTAAAAGGGATGTAAATGTTCACAATTTAAAATTGGATTCATTAACAGTTCTTTGTTAACCTAGAGAATATTAAAGGATCTTATTTATAAATTCAGAGCTTTTAAATTATTTACCAAGTTTCAAGTAGGTATTCAAATAAGTACAACTTAAAACTGAAACATACTATGTGTGTGTTAGTCTTCAACTGTAACAGAGAATCATCTTCATAAAATAAAAAAAAGGATCTCCATGTTCCTTCTCCCACCTAATGAAAAGAGGCCCATTTTGTCCCTTTCCTATGGCTCCCCAGCAGAATATTAGTGGCAATCTTTTGGGCCTCAGTGGCCCATTGAAGGCCAATCTTGTTTGGTTGGCATTTATCCATGAGAGGATGGGCAATGTTGGGTGTTTGATTGAGGAAAAACCTCATTTTGCTATTTACACTATCCATTTAAAGTTCTTCCATACTAGAAATATTCTTGTCCTTATGTGGCATAAGGCAAACTTATTCAAAGCATGCAAGTTTTGGGGTCCTACGCTCCCCCCTTAGTCTACCTGATAACTGAGCAAAGAGGCACTACTCAGACTCCATTACCATTCTCTTGCCATCTTCTTTCATTATAATACTTTAACATACATGTACTGGACTGCTGCTGTTATTTACAAAGTCATTTTTAGGTTTGTTCAGTGTGAGAGAAAATCAGAAATAAAAACTAAATTATCTTTTCCCATGCCAAACACAAGTATAATTCACCATCTCCTATTGCTGCATTTCTTTTTCTTGATTGAATCATTTGGTTACTAAGTCTCAAAAGTATGTGAGAATTCAGTCTGTACTATATAAGAGACAGAAAAGAGTATCAAGAAAGTGAATTAATAATCCACAAGAATGAACAGCAGTATAGCACCCACCAACCTAGTCCCATTGAATCTGGAAAAAAATGGACAACAAGCAGAATTTGAAGGCAGAGGAGGGACGCTATAAATTTTTCTTGTGCTGGAAGAGTTATATGCACGTTGAGAGCTAGTGCTCTCACACAGTGAGGAGGTTCAGGACATGCAACCCCACAACATGGCACTCTGGTATACTGAGTATTCTAAGCTGACACATTTGAAAAATGGCATGTGCTGGGAGGACTTTCTAACCTCCCACAATACAGTGTGAGGTGCCCTCCCTGTATATCCTTATCTCCAAAATACTGAACAGAGTCAGGATAAACAGATCTTGCTGTTGCTCCTAGTTTATGTTACTTAGATCATATTCTTCATCATCCTGTATTTTCCATTCTTTAAGCCAAGCAAGAAAATTAGTTTTAACCACTTATTTGAGCCTTCATTTCCTTATGAATGTTCACATGTCACATAAAACATTTTAAAAAATGTTTGTTTTTCTTATTAATCTGTTTTTGTTTACAGGATCTTGATCAAGTACCTAGGAGAAAAAGATATTTGTCTTCCTTTTAACAGGATAGATTGCTAAGGGAGAATAGTAAAGCAGGTTTCCAAGGCTTGAAGGAAATGCCCACGTGACAACAAAACAAAAGTACCTTCTATTAGGCTCAAAAACAGGAAGAATGCGTTTTCTGCAAGTTACTACACTGAAGACACAAGGTATGGTGAAAGGGATTTTCCTTGGATGTGTTTTAGAATAAATTAGATTATTGCTGGGAAGTAGAAGCTGCCTACCCACAAATGAATATCTGGGGCACAGGGGGCTTGAGAGTTCATTATGACTTCACAAAATTCTCCCTAGGACACCAGCAGGCCTACAAAAGTATGTGGAACTTGAAAAAGAATGATAAGCAATCCCAAAAGAAATCACAAGATTTCCCATCAAATCTAGCAGGTACCCATTTATAGATAGATAGATAGATGGATAGATAGATAGATAGATAGATAGATAGATAGATAGATAGATAGATAGATAGATTAATGTCTTTATACCTCCAAGGTGTGACTAAATGTTATTCTTATTACTCTAAGCAGATCAGGAGATTATAAATAAGAATGGCTTTTTAATTATACTATAAAAGATTCTCACTCCCTTAGTGATAGCTCCTTTCTCCTTATTCTAATAGATAACTAGAAATATTTTATATTATAGTAAGATTCCATTGAATAAACAATAAATGAAGCATTTTTTTTCTCATATTTTTTTCTCATACTACACCTCAAAAGTTTTACTTTTATATCTCTAGCAGGTTCCACTCTTACAAGAAATGCTTATAGGTAATAGAAGATTTTGCTTTCTTTTTTCTCTCATAGCATGGCCAGAATGGCTTGTTTTTCTTGGATAAGAGAAAAAAATTAGCAGTGTAAGGACAGTTGGGAACTGTGGTTGGAAAGAACAATCTCCTACTCCATATATACCTATATAACTCCTGTTCCCACTTTTCCCAGCCAGTAACTGATTGAGAAGCAATAGAGATGATAGCTTTGAAGGGGTGCTAAGGAAAGGAAATCTATAATTTATGTAATAGCAGTAAAGAGCCATTGAATGTTTTTAGAGGGCCTTGGATAGTTACGGTATAAATAAAAGACCATGTGTACAGATGCTCATAATTATGTACATCACAATTTACCCTTTTTCTCCATTTTTACTGTTTTTTGCTGTCTTTTCTATATTTCACATGTTAAGAGGAAAGGGAGATAAACATAATATTCCCAAATTGTGATCAACTTCTGAGTCTTCTTCAATGATAGGCTGCCTTGTGTGTTTCCTGAGAGTTTGTTATTGTTCTCCATTTGTACAGGAAAAGCACAATTATTTACAATTAGGAAACACATTATTTGCTGGACCCCACATTCAACTATGACTCATGCTTCTCATTTTCAAAATTGTCACGTCAACTGTTACTGATTGCCCCATCAACATTACTAATACTCATCTGTTGTTGTCACTATAGCTAGAGCCACGTCTGGATGTTCTGGAATACATACATCTTTGAAAAAGAAAGGGCTCTAGGAAAATACATACTCTCCTCATTCCCTTTAACAGTTTATTGTTTAATGCATAGCATTAAGTTTAACTTATTAAAATGTTTGGCAATTTATTCATCTCTCTGGATAGGTGATAAGATAGATAAGACCAGAAGAAGTGAGTATTTGAATATGAAAGTAACAGTGATAGGGACACTAAAAATATTCTTCAAATACAAGTTATAGATAAGCACATTCTTTGAGTTAATCCTCTTCTAAACAGCAAAATAAAAGCAATTTTAATAAATTACCTATTTCTTGGGGGTGGGGGTAGGAAAGGGAGTATAGAAAATTTATAAAATTAGGTTGCTGTGGTGGTTATACAACCAAACATAATTAACTGAAGGTCACTGAATTGTGCCCTACAAATTGGTGGGTTATTTTATGTATATGTATATTATATCTTAATAAATTAATTTAAATTTACTCAATAATTTAAATTAATGTAACTTATATGTCAATAAAGTAATTTCTAAAAGTCATAACTGAGTCAAGAGGGGTGGACCTAGATCACAAAACATTTCTGGTCATATTTTTGACTACTGCTATTCACCTAAAATTCCTCAGATATTGAGAGAAATAGTTTGCATAGGAAAAAATTTGACACCCCAAAATATGTCTTTGTCATAAAGATTATTTTAGACTTGTATTCTTAAACAACAGCCAGAAGACAATCTCTGAAAACTTTACAGACGGTACACCATTTTGATAAGCT